TAATTCCACCACTTTTTCTATCTTCAGTGTGAACTAATGTCTTATGTATTCGAGAGTGACATAGGATAAAATATAGTCCCCTGCAGGCTTTTCCTTAACATCATGACATAAGTTACGTTAACATCGTTTTGCATTTAAAATATTGGTAAATTAAAATCGTTTATGGGCTGTAATCTTCACACAACTCGAAAAATAATGTTTTAAAATAAACGCTTTAAAATTTTAAGTGGTGGTTGACTTACAGATATTTCGCTTAGTAACTTGTGCATTAAAGGGTAATCATTATGAAAGGCTTCATAGTAGTTCTTTTAACAAAAACCACTATAAAATATTTTATAATTAGTGTCATCACATAAAATTTATATTTTTACTTTCTTCCCACGGAGTAGAGAGAAAGTTATGTAATTCTGTGCAAAAAATCGGGAATAATGGCAGAAAAACACGGTCCTAATATTAGTGATAAAATGAATGAACGCCACTTTTCTAGAAAAATCGAGTAGCTACGAGTAATACTATACGAGAAGCCCCGGAAGTGAGCACAAGGGCAAATAGCGCTCGAGGTCAAGGCATCACAGCCCCTCTTATCGCGAACAATCCTTGCGGAGAGATAACGACTTTTCCATTTCCAGCGAGTGCAGTACATGAACATTAGACACTTATAACATTGTTTTCAATCCTCTAGGAATTTCCTTCACAAATGAAAAAAAAGCCATTAATTTCGTTCTTTGGTCAGATGAAGCACTGCCACATTTAATGTACATAATTTGCATGTGAGGACCGAGGAAAATCTTAATTTGCACGTAGTGTAACTCATCAAGAGCGATTTTCTGTAAATGTGTGTTGGGATTGGGGATGAATTTAGCCTCTCTCATTTCTTACCCGAGCATTTAAGAGGCGTTCAGTGTCTGAATTTTACAACTCAGTTATTCCCAATGCTTTTGCAGCCGGGAATTAATGAAAGAAAACGTTTACGCTACGGAAGTCGATGATCGCGATCACCTTCTTCGGTGCATGGAAAGCGCGGCAGCAGAAATAAAGGTAACCTTCAACCCGGCAAAGTTGAGTGCGTCACAGAGATTTTGCGGTGCAGATGCCTATCTGGCGATCACGCAATAGGGGCCATTTCGAACACTTACAGAGCCCCTGTTACACGAGTTGATATAATATACTATCCTTAATAACACTTATATAATAGATTTTTCTTTCCTTTAGTAATAACAGTAATAGTTATGTAGTATTTGGACTACATTATTTTTTTATTTTATTTTAGATCGCAGAGCAACTTTGTGGTCAGAAGCAATCACAATAGGATTTACTTTGTAAAATCAAATTTTTTAGCAATACAAGAAGTACTGTATATATTTTCCTAGTTCTGTAACACATACAAATTCAATAACTTTCTGACAAAGCGGAGTAGAATTTAATTTAAAATGGATATCTGTATCAAATTTGAAGTTTTTACTGACGTCTTTCCGCAAAGGACATTCAGCATGGAGCTACATTGTTTTGCAAAATAGAATCAATAATAAAAACTCTTTTTCAACATTTTGAATAGGGTTTACACGATTACCTTTTACCATCATGAATAACTTAATGTACTTATCACCGGATCACTTTATCACCTGTATGTGCAACGAGGACTGAATCGTCCTGTATGAATACATAAATGTAATTAATACACAATTAGTATTGTCATTTTCAGTACATAATTCCCTGGGCAAGAGTAATATTATTCATGACTAAAGTTACTCATTGCTATTTGTTGGTGTGCTCTTGCAAATGTTACAATGTACCAGTAAAATAAAACGAAAACAAAAAAATCTTGAAATTTATTTAAAAACTTTATGTAAAAAACGTATTACAGTCATTAAGAGACATAAAAAAAAAAATTTCCATGAAAATATTATCTTTTTATAAAAATAGGATTTTAGGGTAACAACCTGGTCTCTATGTCAGAATAAAATAAATATATGCTAGTATATAAAGACAGAAAATGCCTTGACATACAGCGCGGTAATCTCTGAATGTACTGAATCAACAGCGATGAAACTTTTGTTTGCTTCCTTTAAAGGTAAAGAGTACTTTATTCTACATTTTACAACCATGAACCTTAATATATTTACAAAATAATTACTTTTCTGGTCACATTTCGCCTAGATTTACATCACAGTTTCAAGAGAGAATCAATGTCAATAGTTTAGCTGCGGAGTCCGAGTCTGAGATTACTACCGATTTTATCAATGCACAGAATTGCGTATTTACAAGAGAATGTTTATTTACACTGTCAATTATCTTATCTGAAATGATTCTCTAGTTTCTATATTTATAATTTAAGTAACTTGAATATTTGTTTTTTGGAGTCTAGGCGTGAATATATTAAGTGAACCAGAGATATGAAATGATTGAAACAAATCTTTTTCTGATGGATGTGCTAAGTATTGAGTAAAAAGGTGTGAATGCACACACGTTATATTGTAGTAAATTAAGTATGATTATTGTGTATTTGCGAGTTACCCAACAGCAGTACCGAACACATACATGTACGTTACTTTAATGTCATCTGACAATGCGTTGAAAAAATATTGAAGTCTGTTCACAAACTTAAGTTATAAGTTAAAATCTTTTCTACTCCATAACTGTCTCTATACAATTAGGGACTAAACTGATAATCAAAAAGAAAAATAATGTTTATTTTAACATATATAATCATTTAGTCTACATTTGTATTGTATATTTAACAAATACTTAACACGCTTATAACGAATAATTTACTTCAGCTTCCCAGTCAATGGCCTCCATCTGGATCAGAGTTTGGCCCAGTTTCCCTGATACATTGAGCAAATGCTGAGTTGGCCCCTTGTTTTGCTTCTGGATGTAAATGTAGCCTCACTATGCGCACGATTTGTTGAAATCTCCTTTTGGTTGTGATGGTAGGGGTGGAGGTAAAGGTGAGTTACTATTTTGTTAGCAGAAAAATCAAATGTGAAGTTCGTTTACCGTTGAAAATAAGTTTTCTATAATTTATGAACGAAAATGTCTACTTTTTTTAATGTTGCTAATCTGTTTCTTTTTAAAGTTTATTTTTATTTATTTATATATCTTTACCTTTCTCATCTTTCAACTATTTATAGTCAAAATGATGGGAAGGAATTCTGAAGTGCAAGAAAAAGTACGCAGATGATCTTCTCCCCCATACCTCACATACAATTTTAACTGTTTTTGACTAAATAAATCTAAACGGTGCGAGAGAAAACATATTATTAGTGATTTACGTATTATACTGAAACTGTGACAGAGGAATTGAGTTTTGTAGAGAAGTGTTTTTTTTTTGTTGTAGTAAACAGAGATTGAAAACGTACCTTTGGGTGGTAAGGGAATGATTATTTAAATTGATGGAAATTGTCGGAACGAAGTACAATTGAAGTAAAACAGTAATAATAAATGGAGTAACTGAATGTGTGTCAACGCTGTTTCAAGGTTGTAGAAAATAGAGATATGAAGTAATTTTAGATAATAGAAAAAAATGTGAAGTCAGGATCTACCGTGAACATTAATTTTTGGATTTTTTATACTTGAATGTTTAATGGCCGCTTTCCGTCAGTCTACTATTTATCAAGGACTCTAAAAAGCTAACTCGAATTTAATTAAAATTATTTTAAACGTCAATCAAAGTTCAATTTCCAACATTGCTTCATAAATACGTGCAAAGAAAAAATATGAAAAAAAGTAAGTTTTGCAATATGGCAATTGATTGAAAGTATTGGAATAATTTATAAAAATCCACAAAAAGAATATAAGTCAGTACATTTATTTTATTTTGTTTAGTGTAGAGTTATTCATTATTTTCAGTTTTAAAGTGAATGAAATTTGGGAACGGGAATCCCAATAACAAACAAATATAAATACTATTTCGTGCCTGCGGAAGGCCAGGTACTTCCAGGTGGAAGAAAGGCAGATAGGGGCGGGTTAGGGAGGAGGGGAAATAGAATAGAACCGAGAGAAGGCTCCGCCACAGGGTGGGAATATATATGGAATTCTTTTTCCTGTGTAATAAATTATTATGACTATTCCACTCGTCAAATTAAAATCACTATTGTTTAACTATACATAAAAAATACAGTCATGATTGGTGCATCGCAAAAGGTTAATCAATTTTTCTACCCGATTATTCTTACCGCTTCTACCTACTGCCCAATCATAAACTGGGACTCATCTATCGTAGAGGTTCATCGATTGCTATGTCAATGTCCTCCTCGCTTGGCGAGTCAGGAATGTATCGATAATATCCAAAGCATTCGTGGTGTTAATTATGAAATAAATATTTTTTCAAGTAAACAAATTTCACTTTTTCAATAGAAACTACTAATATTTTTACAATTATGGTATCTAGAAACAAATATCATTGTAAATCATTTGAAAACTCCAAGTACACCTACGTATACTTACTTTTTCAGTTTTTTATCCAAGCATTCCATTGATTTATTGGATGATCCCTCAAACCAACTTGCGTAGGATATTGAAGAACGTGAAACTGAGCACTTCTTAAAGGAACCAGCGGTTGTGATCTTTGCTCTTGGACATAAACGATGAATGCGCTACAAAATCTGACATCGGTTGATAGACGTCTCGTAACATTGCTAGCGCTGGCGATGTAACCCTTTGCCCGCAGAAGGCACGGAGGCCCCGTAAGGTCCTCACATGAAAGGTCTCTAAATCCCTAGTTCTAATATTCCATACCACTAAAAATGTAGATGTACGGGTTTTGCGTGGTGATGTACCAGCTAGTGAAATTCCATGTGAATTCGAGTATCAAGCGTGCTGGGTGTTGGGTGTAAGAGTTAGGAAACCTACAATTTAATTTTTTTTAGGAAAGGTTGGTTTTGATTAAAAAAATTGGTTCATACGAACAAATAAAATGTTGTCATAATATATTACTTATAATAATATTGATATTAACTTTCATAGTTTCATATTACTACATGAGATTATTCCGTTTCCAGATTCCCTGCTTTCACTCTCTATTGGGTCATCAGTCCACTTCTTGGTATCCTGACGTCTCAATATGGATGAAACGGACAAGGTATGTAAAAAAACTATTTTAAGACTTTATAACGTAGTTGAGAGATACACATTTTTTAAAGCTAGTGTCAAATTTATGGTTTAATGATTAAAAACTAAGTTATCCTAACTTAAAAACCTCTTCTCTTGTATGTTTCTCTCTTATATCTCTTCTTTTTTATGCTTAGTGACGAATCCTTCCAGTTGCATTAAATCATGTACTTCGTACTTCTACGAACATTTTGGAAAAGCGCTACTACGGCATAATGATGTGAATGTGTGCAAACTTCGCTTAAATGATAAGAGTGCCATATTAAAGGAGACGGATGACAAATGGCTTTAAGAGAATTGTGTTGAAGCGAATTTGAAAAATATGAAGAACACAGAAAAATGTCCCCAGAATCGTATTATATTTTAAAGTCTGTTTATTTCTTCAATAATGTCAATAAATATCAAATATCAATTTTTAAACATATTAATTTATTATATTTTATTAATTTACATTCATACGACGTTTCTATCTCATCACTTTTCCTCCTTAAAGTATATGAAAAGTATTAGAATCACATCCATAACACGAATTCACGACAGCGCGACATCGCAAATTTTTGGTCGTAAAATGCTCAATACCCAAGACATCTACTTACTTGACTGGGGATTAATAATATATTTTATTTACTCTTCTCTATTTAGTTAAATAGTTATTTTATCCCTTCTTTTCTTACCCTACACTTTATTTTTCTTAGTTCGTCTTGCCAGCTTTTGTTTTCCATTTTGTTACTGCTGCATTCAATCCTTGCATTATCTTTCTTCATTTTTTTTTCTTCATTTTTTTCTTTCTCACATCATTTTGTCAGTATCCAGTTTCGTTTCCTTCTCTTTCCTGCTTCCTCAAGCTTTCGCCCAAGAGGTTACGTGCCTTTCTCTTCGACCTTTAACTTACGATTTCAGTGGCCCTGTTTCAAATTCAACCGCCTGTCTTCACCTTTCGCCCGTGCTCCGCCTCGTGGCTCCCCCCGCCGTCCGCGCGTTTGCTATCCGCCTCCGCTCCTCGCAGGGCTTTCCTTTGAGCTGGGGATCGCCGCGGGAAATTCGTTGGCTATGCCGCTGTGTTGTCGACGCCACGCTGTTCCATCACAGGAACATCACATTCTCTTGCGAAACGGGCCTAACGCAGTTTCTTGTTCACAAGGATAACATAACCAAACCAACAGGTCAGGCGGGAGGCTAAATGGCCTGAGCCTCGCCATCAATAAAGACATTTATTTATTTACCTATTTATTTATTTATTTATTTATTTATTTATTTATTTATTTATTTATTTATTTATTTATTTAATTTTAACAATTATCCAGTATTTTTTATATTTGTGAAGGTCACTGAATTTGTAATAATTAAATTCTGCATAAGGAATACAAAAAATTCCCAATCTCTTACATTACTCTCAATAAATCAATGATAAAATTTGTTACTTTAAAACCAGTTTTGAATATAAGTGGCAAGATAAAATAATGTTATTTTCGAAATATGACGGTTAATTACGAGCGAAAAAGCGTGGAAATCAAATTTCAACTGCAGTTGTTTTCCATTGGCAGGCCTAGGAATGACATTGACTAGACAATATTTACTTTAAAGGCAACTCAAGGGTTTCATATGATTGATTTATGGATAATATTGTTTGGGCATGTGAATGGAAAAAATAAAAGTTGTTCCTATTACCAGTTTTTTTTATTGCAAGGTGAGAAACTTCCGATGACTTCACAGTCTTGGGACTACAATGCAAATACTTAGAACCACTAATCAAAATTCGTACGCTCCCAGTAGATTGATTCTGGCTTCCAGGAAACCGAACTGAATATTATGGTATTCATCCAAAGAATTGTTTAAAATTGTTAGTAATAATAATAATAATAATAATAATAATAATAATAATAATAATAATAATAATAAATATTATTATTATATTATAATTTTCCGGGATATTTGAAATAGAGCTACTGTAGTAATAATTAATGAAAATATTTCTAATATACTTGCTCTTTTATTGATCTGTTTGAAAAGAAAATGGTTAAAAAAGATCTCCCCCCCCCAAAAAAAAAGGAACTAATGAGAAAACTAGTGGCGCTACAGGATGAAATACAAATCTCTAATAAATTTTCTTCCTAAAAAATCTTATTTTTCTTTCTCTCTTCTAAAATAATCTTTTTATACTAGGCTAGCTTTCAGTATTGCCCCACCCTCTTCCCATGCTGCCATTACAAGACACTTTTTCACATTTTCCCAATTTTTCGTACCCCTAATAGTAGAATTAATATGTAACATTAAGTATACTAAAGAAGCGTAAAACATGGTCAAAAAAAGTTTCATAGAAAAAATTGGAGCCGTTGTTGAGACCATGACGATGAAGTGTTTCTGAAAATGAGCAATTTTGATCTCATTTTCACAGAAAATTTTTGAGTTTTGGAGAAACTTCAGTAAAGATCGTTTAAGTGCAATAAACATATGAAAATTTAATAATAAATAAATCACAAATGCAATAACATATAAAAATACCTAATGTAAATATCAACTATGTGATGCAGATTTAAAAAATAAGGTATGTATAGGTAATATGGCCACGTTAAGCACCTCAAATTTTGCTGTTTATATATTCCAACATTTGGCCAAATTAACAGTATCATGATGAAATTTAACACTTTTGCTTCACGTTGAAACAGCTATATTACAAAAAAGTGATTCAGGAATGTTTTGTTATCATTTTACAAAATATTGTAATTTGAAGGTACAATGCCCACATACAGGTTTTATGGCCATTGCCAAATTAACTTGTTTCTTGTAACCATGACAATGGAACTAGAGCTAGCTATACTAAAATATAATGTAAATTACACTCTTACAGTCTAATCTTACAAAAATACGGCCTGAAATGAATCTTTTTTTTAGCAACAACGCGAATGTATATAAGAAGTTATAAGGACAGTGTGTTTTCAGCGCATTCGTGACAATAAAAGCTCCAGAATGCGAATGAACAAGTCTGGCAGAGTGTTAACGCACTTCTTACATTTTCCCAGACTGCATGCTAGCACAACCAATCAGAAATAGTGTCAGCCCACACCATAGCCGCTCCTTGGCCATATTACATGCACTGACCATTTCCATCACTTACTTTATATTAATCTACTAACCAATGTATGCGATATTTAATCAAAAGAATACATTAAAATTACTTTTATGTCGTGCGATTTCTAAACAAATGTCGTGTGCGCGTTCCTGATTCTGCGCAATTTTCATCTCATTTTCAGAGACACATTTTGGTTTTCTTATAAATTTTATTAGAAACCTTTTTACCCACAAATGCAACAATGTATCAAATCACCCGTAATGTAAATTCTACCAACGTAAGACTATTAACTTTCAATATCAAATTAATTTTAAGACAGCAAATACTTATACAGATAATACATTTCACATTGATTTCACTGTTCTCTACATTTTCTGTTTTATTTCACAACGTTATTTCTTTTCGCTATCTCCAGGCACTGAAATAAGTAGACATAGTTCGTACGAAGCGAACACGGCGTACGAACGGTGGTTGGGGTGAGGGTGGGGAGGTAAGGGCTGGGGACGGGAAAGGTTGCTTTGTCACGCGATTCGTCGTATTCACACTAGAGCGAAGGTGCCTGCAGCGCAGGCACAGCGGAATTTCGCCGCAAAAAGATCTGCTCCCTCTCGTTCCCGAACTTTGCACCTGTGCCCTACGCCCACCGAAAATTCACGCCTTGCGCCCAGAAGGGGCTCAGAGGAGTGCGGGCTTCCAACCGCCCACGCCTTTGTCGCCGTTCCCTTTGATCGCGGGGAAATAACGAAATAAACGTTTTTGCTGCAATTGAATTGCGTGTCGGAGGAATGTATTAGATGTTGAAGTAACGTGTTACGAGCTACGTATGATGTTTTGGAAATACCGAGTTTTTAAATGAATATTCTTTTGTCTTAACGTGTTGCATTTGCAATAAACAATTTAGTTCACTGATTGGCAAATGAGCGATCTCAGATATCTTTTTCATCGTTCGTTTTATTTCGCAGTTAAGACGATAATCAAAGAAATAAAATATTGTATATCTAGAATGGCGGATTATTTTTACTTCACTTCTTTGTTTCGTTCTTTATTTGACTATTGTCGTTTGCAAATGAAAATATTCTACTTTTTTCGATATGCAGACTAAATACAAATGTCCTAAGTGTATTTTTATGTTGGATAAATTACAGGAACATTTCGTTTGAATTCGTTTACGCACGTCCGCGTTTGGTCTCTCTGCCACCAAATGAATAATAATGAGTTGTATTGTGTTAAATGAATAGTGAAAAATGGTATTAGTGTGTGTTATTTTAAAACTGGTACTCATTTCCATTTTATGATTTTTCCTCAGATAAATGTGAAAAAATATTTTTATTTCGAAAAGAGGTGTTTACGCAATCACCACAAAATTATCCTACATGTTCTTCGTAACTGACAATGCTCGCTGAGTAAACTACGTTGGTGATCCTTAGTTAGCACAGAGAATGCAAGAGATGGATTCTGCTGTTACGTGATCACGACTGTATTTTTCATATTAGTAAAAGATCGATGACAGCTCTGCATTCTACTGTATAAGTGAGAAAATGTAAATTATCCAATAAATTAATTAAATGTAAAATAATACTGAAGTATTTAAAACAATTTAAAACATAATAATAAAATTTAAATAACTAAGATATTGTGCTAGTGCTATAGGCTGCTTCAACACGTTTCAACCTTCCTAATTTGATTACTATCCTATCCCTTTTCGAATAATTCATGTGAAGTGTCAGGTGGACAGCGGGAATCTGCAACAGGAATTTCGTTTCGTTTTTCCTTGTTCTTCCGTTTCTTCTGCCGTGGAATTAACTTTTGTTACTTCCTTGCGTACTTCATCTTCATTATTGTTAACAATTATCTTTCTCCAAGCGACATAAAAAAGCAAATAACAAGAAGCACAACAATAAGAGTGCTACAACGGCACATTGCATCGTTGCTTCGTCCGAAAGTCTTCGCTTGTATATTAATTGTGTGTTGTGGGCTGAACGGTTATGCGTCGACACAAAACGCTTAAAGATCACATGTCTCTGTGGGGATTGGGCAATCTCGAAGAACTGGTCGACCTTAACTAGAGATGCGTGTTGGAGCGGGTAGAAGTTCATTTTATAGTAACCAAATTAATTATCTTCTTATTAAGACGAATTTGTAAAAAGTCGAAAAAAGAAAGAAAAATTTTTAAAAAATACATTGCAAAATACAAACATTATCCATTACATTTATCGGCGAAATGACGACTAACGTCTTTCC